ATGTGATCAGTCTGACACATCTTTATCTGCTTAAATCTTTGTTTCAATCAAGGTTCTGAATGACTTAGCCCAATGAAAAAGAGAATAAAATGACAGAAAAATTATGATGTCTTGTTTTGCATATTAACACTGAATTAAAATCTCTGGCAGCAGAAATGCAGTGTTACAGTTCCAAAAAGTTTGACTTTTTAAGAATAACAGTATCAAGAGTGACTTTGCTGCTTCTGGAAGGCCAGAGTGCAGCACTGCCCTATATTGTAGCACATGCCATATTTAAACTGAGGATATGCTTGGATGGAAGTAATTGGAATGAAAACTAGGGAACATTAATGGAGTCAATGGGCTTTTTTGTGGAGGTGTTTATAGATCTCAGCTGAAGCAATAATTCTTGCAGAAAGACTGATACCAGCTGAGAAGATTCTTTTTTATCAGTACATCTAGGTTATCTGCTGTCTGGAGAATTCTTCCAACAGCTATGTTGTGGTTCAGAGTCAGCCAAAAAAAATACCTGTTGACAGCATTTCTGAGTTTCCCAAAGTCAGGAATTGGCTGTTTCCTGTAAGTATGTTTTGATATTCTGTTCTGTAATTTAAAAAAAAAGGTAAGCTTTTAATTACTTTGGAACAGACCAGGATGCATCTCCTTCCATCAGTTGTGGCCAAGAAATTTCCCATGCTCAGGAAGAGCACAGCTGATTGAGAAAAAAGTCCCAAGATGCAAACAAACAAGAACTAATCCATTAATTTCTTATAGCTTGCTCTTTTGCATATGTATGAAATGTTATATTAAACAAGGAAGCTGATTTATTTTTCTGTTATTGTTGCTAGAGAACAGAAACACCCAGTGAGAATGTTCATCTGCTGAAACTACAGTAACTGAAATGACTTGGGGTTTCCCCCGTTTATTGGGATTTTATGACGAGCCCCAGCTCAGCTCATTATAACCAGTTTTTTTTCCTGCTGGGAACTCTTGTTTTAAGCCATTGCTGTGTTTCACTGAGTCTGCAACAAGAGCCTGATACCAGCTGGTGGATCACAGTGGAGCAATATACTGAGGTAAATGGCTGAATCAATATAGCTCTGCAGGTCATGTTATCAAGAGCACCTGTAATGTATTTAACACATTTCAGAGTAGCTTGATTGATGGATTATAAATGGATTGAAAATGTTTAATACCAAGGATAAGAGAAGTGTATGTGCCAGAAAATAAATATCAGTACCAGAATGTGATAGAGGGGTGGAATTCTGCCAGTCTTTGGCATACTGGGCATAAATGACATTTTATTCCCTTTTACTTGCGCAGACAAGTTCAAATGCTTCATCAGCTACAGTTGGTTCAGACTCTGATTGCTTGCTCACTAGGTGATGTTTTTCAAAGAGACGTTGCACCTCTGTTATCCACCCTCCCCTCTGTCCTCTTTGGGCTACTGAAGGATTTCCAGAGTTCAGTGTGTTGGCTTGGCTTGCAATGCCTCAAATCACCAGCATCCTGAACACTCTGTGGTTACCACAGCATCACTTTCCAAGATCCCCATGGAGAGAGCTCTCCAAGAGAGGTGTCAACACAGTCATTCTTGGTGACTACTTGCTTTCCTTCCTCTAACCATGAGAGTCTTGGTTTTTATTACAGTAAATACTTTCATTTTTCTTTTTTTTAAATTTGCTAAGGTTCCCACCTTTTATTTGTACCCCCTACAGGATGTAGGATGTACCCCAGTGAGCACTGCCTGTGGTACTGCTGAGACTCCTAGTGAAATCTGAGGGTTTCATCTAGCTAAGTAGCAAGAGTTTAGTCTGCAACGCTCGAAATAGCAACACTGTCAGAAACTGAAATACACATTTCACACAAGGTTATTTTAATATATATGCTTTTAAATTCAGTGGTCTCCTTTATCTGTTTGACAGATGTTTAGAGATGATGCTTCTCTCGGGTTGTTTTTTTTCTCCAAAACTTCTAGATTGAAATTAACTGAATATACATATTAAAAAAAAAAAAACAACAACACATCAAGGAGCCACACTGGATTTACAGTATGAGACTAAAATCAGCCACTTCAAAATCAGAAAATGTCATGAGTCATTTTGTTGGAGCCTGTGTGTAACAATGCTGCTTCTGCATTATCCTTCTGCTGCTACTGTTTTACTAGGCTGTCACTGCTATCAGCACAAGGAATAGACAATGCTGAAAGCATGTCTTGGGCAGGTGTTAAAGAGGCTTTCCCTGATGGTTTATCTGAGTCTCTGCATTCTTTTGTTCCAGGTATCAAGTGACATTTGAATAACTGCTGAGCTATAGGACCTTCTCTGACTCTCTCCACCTCATGTCCATGCAACATGCAGAGATGAGCAGCACAGATCAGGTCCCCAGTGTAAAAATCACCTGAGTGTTAGCTAAGCTTGGTATTAACTAAACTAGTTAAACCAGAAAATGCCAAGCAACCTTGTTTTGGGCACTGCTATTTCTAACACCTAAAACAAAAGGAGATTCAGATGTTAAGAGCCAGATGGATGTTACCAAATAAATACCATAAATAATAACAGCATGTTCATAGGGTCTTTCCCCTTTATTTTTCTGATAGACACTGTCTTCTGATGGGAGAACAGAGAAACAGGAGTTGTTTGGTTACTTCTGTTTGTTCTACTTTATTATTATTTTTTTAATATTAACTTAGAGAATTATTTTCTAGGAAATACAGGCAACATTTAGAGAACGGGAGTGTGGGTTTGTTATAAAACAAAGGCACTTCTTCCAGTTACTGATAGGGCTTCTTTTGGAAAGCCCCCTTCACTGTATTTGAAATCAAAACATCCAAGGTCTGATATTAATGCATTCAGTTAAAATAACATGCAGGTTGGAACACTCCCATTAAACACCAACTCTTCACCCTTTTTATTAGTGTTGCTTTTATTACCGACTTGTAATAACATTGTGTGATGTAATAGACTTCCCAGAAAGCCAGCAGCAACAAGAAGCACTTTCCACTTTTAAATATCTAGTTCAATGAAAAATTAATTTAAGAATGAGAAATTCCAAGAAGGATGGCAGAGAGGAAGCCTGATTTCACTTTGGATATGTGAGATGGAGTCTTTCTTCTGAGGAACACTGGTCACCCATTGCAGGCTTCTCTCAGTGAGTGTGTTACTAGAATATTTCCTCTTTAGCCAAGTCATAGCCCTCCATGAAACTTGGTAAAGCTTTATGACATTGCACCCTCAGCCAAATTTGGTGGATGTTATGCAGTGGGTTAAAAAATCACTGACACCATTCATTAAAAAGGAACTGACCAACTTATATATACCGAATACTCAGCATGCTCATTTCAGTCTTAATTTTTCTGGAAAACAGGCCAAAAAACTCTCCCTGTTGCCACTCCTGGTAAAGTCTTTCACACTGTTATTGTTTTTGTACTCAGATACTTAGTTTTTGTATCAGGTACTTTGACCTCAGCAGTAAAACTTCCAGAGGCTGAAAATTTCCAGGCTGTGTCTTACACTGATTTATGTCCTTTTGCTGGGAAACATAAGATAGGAGCTGATCAGGGGGAGAAAAAAAAAAGCCCTGACTACTCTCTCATTTTAAACCACAGTCATAAATTGGGAGACTTGTCTAATGGTATATTATTACAAAACCAGATGTTTTAATCAGGAAAAAGAAGAATGTCGTATTTGGACTTTTAAATACTCAGTTGTCTCCAGACATACCTACCACAATCAGCTTTTATAGCTAAGAGAGCCTAGAAACTGAGAGGAAAAATCTGATATGAAAAAAGGAGATTAGATTTATGTGTTAAGTACACAGTAAGCAGTGGTCTGAAAATGCCTGGGTTTTATAAGATGGTATTCTGGAGAAATAAATAGAGGCAGTTAGTTAAATAGCAAAGACTTATAGCTGTGAGTTAAAGAAGATATTTATATCCTGCCAGGGTCACTGTGGAATGCTCTCATCTTTGGTGCTCTGTTGTGGCAGGGAGGTACCTGTGGGTCTTTAATAAAATGGTCAGTTATCCAGCTTTCAATCTGTTCTCATTTCTTATGTTCTTCATTTTGCTGATAAGGGTGAGAAACAAAAAAAACCAAAACCTGTGTGTGTGAGAACTCAATTTCTCATTATTTTCCTGAGTGCCTCTGAGAAGTTTTCAAGGGAATCTGTGCTTTTTTGAAGTGGCTAACTTTTACTTTTGACAAAACTTCTAGGGCAGATAAAAAGGCTTCATGACACCTTAAACCATCTGAAATCTTTCCAGGCACTGCCAAAGGTGTTACCCAGAGTAATGAATGAATTTGGGTGAAATAAGGAGCAGTCTAAGGAATGGTTGTCAGTAACTGGCACTGATTTCAAGTTGGAGGAAAGAAAAGGGTTCTCAAGAGGATGCTCTGTGGTATGTTGCTGTTTAAGTGGCAATGTGTAAAGCCTAAACCTTTGAGGAGTCACCCTGGTTGGTTGTAAGTTTTCACATATTCATCCAAACCAGGAGTAAAATGACTGTACTGAAAAAAAGGGTGTTTCTTACTGGGAACTCTCTTGAGGCTTGGTTGCAGCTCTTGAGAGTGTGGTGGATGGATGGGGCAGGGCTTCGACTTCTGCCTGGCCAAAGCTCTGGGGTAGTGGAGTGCCCTCTGAAGGCAGCCTAGATGACTCAGGAGCCTGCTTTTCTGCACAGCCAGCGAGGTGTCTCGGGTAACAACCTTGATGCATGCAGCTGCCTCAGAGCCCTGACAGCTCCGGGACTGGTGACTGACATGGTTTTGTTTTCTTCTTTTTTTACTTTTCTTTTTTTGGGCAGCTCCCCCTCCCTCTTCCTTCTAAATTGTTTTCTCAGCTTGCTTAAGCCTCAGAGCCTGTCTCCTTCTTCTCTTGAACAGCTGGAATGGCTCTGGACTGAATGAACAGACACGGAACAAGACCAGGCTGAACCCTGAGAGGATCTCAACCTCCACGAGTAACAACCTGGCTGTCTGACCTGTGATGCTGAGAGCCAGAGAGATTTAACACCACTGCAGATGGCTGCCCATAGCTTGGCATTAGGACTATGGCTCCTGCTGCTTCTCCAGGATGTCCAGACAGCCCCACAGGTAAGGGAAGGTGACACCAGGATCCTACAGCCCCTCAGGATCAAGGAGCCTGGTGAGGTCTGGGGGTACCCTAGTTTGCTGGAGGTGGGTGCTGGAAAGTGATTATCCACGGAAACAGGCTTTGTGCATGACAGGGTGTTAAAGGTATAAAGCAAAGCAGCAAGGAGAGTTCACCTTCTCTCAGAACTTTGCAAGCAGGAGCAGGGAATATGAGTTCTTACCTGCATCTGTGTGTTGACATTGCTAGTGACAGCTAAGGAAAGAGAAAAGATTTGATGGCATGGGGGACTCTTCTTGGTTGTTTGGGTGAGTGCCTTTCATTTGTGCCTGGATGGCCAGGTGCTCTGAGACAGGCACAGTCCTTGCAGAGCTTGGTTTGGAGGGCTCCTGCTCACTCTGCTGATGTGAGTCAGGGATGGCAGATTGAAAGTTGTAAAGGCAAACAAAACAATGAAATACCTTCCTCTTTACAACTGCCTGCCTCTCTGATGCTGACTTCCTCATGAACGGGCTATTATTTCTGCCTCTAATTGACTTAAAGATGCTGTAGATGCAAGCTAGCTCTCTGCTCAGATTTTATAACCTCCTGTGGGTTTGCTTTACACCCTCCAGACACTTACCCCTCCTTGCTAGTGAATAATGTGGTAACCAGCCCTCAGCACCTGGCATAAATCCAGGTAGTTTCCCTGGCTGACACTTATGCACACACACAGGAAAAAAAAAAAAGGTCAGTTGCAGAGGCTCTTTGCACAGGTGAAGTCAGATAGGTGGGTAAATACACACTGTGTTGGATCCTAAAACTGGCCATTTTCTCTTGCAGTGCAAAGGTGAGCAGAGTGGAAATAGCCTAAGACACTTGTCTGTCCATAGTAAATGAATGATAGAGCACATCACTTGGGCTGCCAGGAGATCTTTTACAAGAAACAAGATCTGATTAGATCTCTGAAAATAGCCAAGTCCTGCATCCTCTTCAAAGACATTTGAAAGAGATACTTTTGGCTCTTTTGCTGAGAGTAGGAGTTTGTCCTTGTGTCTGTAAAGTCCCCTCCCACATTTCAAGTTTGCTCTACTTTGTCCTGGTTATCTGTCCTGCCACTGTCTTCTTCCTGAAGTACAGAAGGATTACTGCTCTTCTATAGGATTGGAGTCTGTAGTCCTTGCTGTAATACCTAGGAGGGCATTCAGATAAACTTGTCTGGTCTGCTGAATGCAAACTGCTTTAGGAGAAAGGCAATGGAAAAAAAGATGGTATTTTTGTTATTTGATATCACTTTTGGTGTTCTGTTCACGAAGTGGAAGGGGGAGGGAGAAAATTTGGTTTTCTGAGACTCATTTTCTACTTTCTGACTTGCTGTGAAATCATCAGTTACATGGAATAAGTATGTAGATCTTGCTGGGATGAACAACTGGCTTTTCATCAGCTTTCTGTATTGCATCTCTCACAGCAACATTTGCATATACTGCTGCTAGAGAACAAGTGATGCTGTTTAATCTGAGCAAACCCAAGCCTATTGGTCATATTTTAAACCATATTCCACCTCACAGTTTGGGTTTTGTTTGCTTTAATATTCAGTCAACTCTCACATGTTAATAAGGTCTTTCCTATCAAGAAGATAAAGCTTGAATAGTCCAAGTCTTAGATTATTGCCATCTTTCGTACTGTCAGAATTTGGATAGAAGCTTGAAAGGGAGTCAAATGTTTTGCTGCAGTGTTAGTCAGTTCTAGAATAGCCAATGCTGGTAGAATATATTTTGTTACCGTAAGATGCTCTCTTCCTGATTTACAGCTCATTTGTAGCAAGCTGATTTCTTACTCTGCCTCACCACTGCTTTTTCTCTGTGAGCTCAAAAGACCATAAATGAATGAGTCAAACCTTGTCCTGACTGAATTGCAGAGTAGCCCACTGAATTCAGTGGATACCTGGATATCCTGTTACAGAGCAGCCTGAACAGGATATGAATTGAGATCTTTTCTTTCACAAGATGCATTCCTACTCCTGCTAAACCAAAAAACTTTATTTGAAGTGCATGCAGGAAGAAAAGATGAGTGAAGTTCAGTCTCCCTCCAGTTGAAGTGTGATGAGTCCGGTTTAAGAACTTGTATTGGAGCAAATTACTAGTGTGATACAGACCCATTGCTTGTTCATATTTGTTCAAAAAAGTTAACTTTGCAGTGGTAGACCTTCTGCTGCACTCATGGTTGTTTCCTGCCCCAGCTTACCCTCTTGGTAGCTTACATATTTATCTGTTTCTCTACAGCTGGCATAAAGCAGTTGTTAACTCTACATTGTGTCCTCGTGTCAAATCAATTCTGTTCTAATATACAGATGCAGGAATAATGTCTGGAAGGTTTCCCCATTGCAGCTGTGCCCATCATCAGACACCTGTCACACAAAGGGGAGGCCCTGCTCCTGGCTACACTGTGCCACCAACATTCTTGCATTGATTTTAGTGCAAGTGACTGTGCAACCACAGGGTGAGTTGCTTCCGAGCAGTAATCCCTTGAAAACCCACTTCACAAATTCAGAAAGCAGAGTTCTCCGTCAAATGAACTCCTAGAACTCATTAAGAATTAAGAGAGGAAGGATAATGTGGCTTCAGGCAAGACAGGGGAACTGGGATTGCACCTTTGGATGGCAGAGCCAAGGATGAGCATGGCTATAATAGCACATATTCCCACTTTGTGAATCTATTCTGAGCACGGAGCCATCCATTCAGAATTTCCTCAGAATAAGAGGGAAGGACAAAGGCCTACTGTCCACCACAGCTGGATTCCTCACCCCTACCCACCAATACTGCTGTGATCTTCCTTCAATTTTTTAAAGTTTTTTACAATACGAGTTAATGAACAGAACTGTAAGTACTAAGACACAATCCTATGTCATTGGGACAAAATTGGTCTTTCTTGATTTTAGAGTGGAGCAGGGAAATATACAAAGTCTGCTTCTCTTTTCCTCAGGAGGCACTAGGAAATGGTGCCTTAAAAAGTGAACTTGTGCTAGAATTTTGAATTTCCCTGGCAGCACCTGAGCATTGTGTTTCTGTCTGTCTTGAGATTCAGACAAGAGTGGATAAGGAGGAGGGACAGTCAAAAGATGAAAAAGAAAAATACTCTGAATGTTAATTAAACAGGATTTTGAGGCTATTGCATTTCATTCTGTTCCTTGCTGAGATGAGAAGACTTTATTCTGTAAAACTTATTGGAGATTTCCTTGATGAAGCAACAAAAGATGTTAGTTGTGCCTGAGGTATGGATTGTATCACACTCTTCAGTGTTTCTAGGCATTCCAGGAAGAGGTATGAATGCAGCAAAAGTGAAAGTTCTTGCACACAAGTCCTTCCCTACAAAAGAGGTATTAAGGGGCAAAAATGACAAAGTGAGTCTTCTCTCACTGGCTCATTGACAATTTCTGTAAGCATACTGGAGCCAGGACAAATGGCCAACACTGTAAGTGGAGAAGTCCTTAGATCTTTCTCTTTTGTGTGCCTCTACACACAGGCACCATGCAATCAAGAAGGTGAACCTCCCACCTCAGCCCAACACTCACAGCTGGTGCTTTTATGTAAGAAGGTGACAGTGTCGAGGCTTTGTAATGTGAGGCTGAAACTTCTTTCTGTCTCCTTTCCTTCATCTCTTCCTTTCATTTCAAGAGTTATTTATGAGCAACCAGGGCCTGCTAAGTCAAACCTTAACCTTCACCTTCTACCTAACAAAGAGTCTTAATTTAAATAAACTGGTTTTGTCCTGGAAAAATGAGGTTTATTAGTGATATTCACACAGTCCTGACTCAAAGTAATTTGTTTTTTTTTCTGAAACAAGGTTAAATTTCCACTGTCATTCTAAAATGTATTAAAAAAGGTTTCTTTGACTTAATTTCACACTACAAATGGGGTACTGGTCCAAGGCAGATGACTTTCACTACTTTGTAGTTAAATCTTATGTGTCTTATTCAGTATTTTATAGTGGTTTTTTTACCCAAGTACTTGCAACCAGAAAAATATTAGAAATGTTTTAATGCTGAGGTTTTTGTTGGCATTAAGAGCAATAAGGGCACATATGCTTTATCTTCCTCCTGTGTTCTTCTTGAGTCCTCATCTGACAAAGTACCACTTTTTACATTGATTTTTTCCCTTTTTCCTCATTGCCTTCATGATTCCCTTGCTTCTTTTACCTGTTCTCATTAAAGCCTGAGAAGAGCAACATTTTCTTTATAAGCTTCCACTCCTGGCTACCCATCATCTCAGTCACAGTACGAGGAACCCAGTCTGTACTAGGCTCCCACAATTGCAGCCTTTGGTAACTCAGCTCAAAACAGGTCTATGCAGCTCAGACCAGTTTGTATCTGTGCTGGGGAGATCAATGCTGCTGCTGTTGCTGGAAATTTTTCTCAGAATTTCCCTCATCTAAACAGGATCATTCTGTGCTGTCACCAGATATCTTCCTTTGTAGTCACCATGTTAGAAGACAACTGGCTTTCCCCCTGCCACTTTTTGTTACAAAATTCACAGAATCATTAAGGTTGGAAGGAACCTTAAAGATCATTGAGTTCCAACTCCCCTGCCATGACCAGGAACCCCTACCACTAGACCAGGTTGCACAAAACCTCATCCAACCTGGCCTTAAAAACCTCCTGTTGATAGGGCATCAACTACCTCCCTGGGCAATCCATTCCAGTTCCTCACCACCCTTATAGTGAAGAATTTATTCCTAATATCTAACCTAAATCTCCCTTCTCTCAGTTTAAAACCATCACCCCTTGTCCTATGAGCCCCTCTCTAGCTTTCCTGTAGCCCCTTTCAAGTTCAAGTTTTTGAGTGGAAAGATGCTTTTGTGTTTCACTGGAAAGGCTAGAGAACATAAACTTTAAGTTCTACTGGAGCAGAGTGACCTACCTATCTTGGTAGCAGTTGTCCTCCCCTTAGCAGGTGAGCTGCATGTGTTGGCAGGGTAAAAAGTGTTTACAGCACCATTGGTGACAGTTTGGACAAGATTTGGTAAAAGCAAGTAAATCTGACATTGAGAAGTCTGTGGGACTGGAGGGACAGTTTGTCCTTTATGCCCTTCTAAGCCTGGTCTGCTGTTCCTTGGTGCTACCACCACAAAAACACCCATAATTGTAGACAGACATTGGGCCCAGGACAGTAAAGACTTCGAAGTAACACATCTAAGGCTGAGAATGACAGAGCCAGGATGGAACCACCAACCCTGAACATGAGGCTATGGGGCCTTTTCCTGCCCTCAGCCTCATGGTGGTCTCACTGTCACCTTGCTACAGGTTTATTCAGGGTTAAGCCTGGATGTCCCAGCTCAGTACTGTACTTCTCAGACAACAGGAGTTCACCCAAGTTGTTTTTATATTTCCCAGGTGAGGATTAGGAATCTGCTCTCTGTTCCAGCTACAGGCTTCCCACTCTATAAAAATGGCAAATTGCCATTGAAAATAGGCATGTCAGTTCAACTATCCTAATTTCTGAGAAGTTACATACATACATTATTTCCATAATTCTGTGGAAATCTAATGCTTTTTTTGGCCAAGGCCAAATATTTTCTGCTGGTTAAAGATTAATGAACTCCAGGACTCAGTCATCATTCTGTCCAGGAACAGCAAGATAAATATTCATTAGCTATTTTGCAGTCCCTCAAAATTTGGATGGATTTGATGGTTGATGTCTAGATTTCTGCTGTTAAAAAGGAGTAGCTAACAGCTGAGGAACAAAAATAACCTGAACACTTCAATACTATTCATTGGATTCTCCTTGTAGACAAAGATCTAAGATGATGGTCAAATCTTCTTTCCAGAAGCAATGAGTCTGGAAAAGAGTAAGACTGGAAGATTTGTAATCTAGAATTCCTTAAGCTTCTTGGTGAACTGTTGCCAGCAATCTCTTCCTAATTAGAAATACTAAGCTCATTAAAAAAAAAAAAAAAAAGTTTTATTGCAAACTTGCACCGTAATTTCCCTAGTTGTAGATGAGCTATCAGAGGTGATGTTTTACATGTGGAAACAGCAGTTACAGGCAGTGAAACTCAGGTATTTCAATGCACATTTTTGTTCCCTTTTAACTTCGTAACTTTGATTGGTTATCTTTTCTTTGAGTTAACTTATTATCCTGATATTCATTACACATGGAGAGAAAAATGAAATTTACATTATCCTTGTATGGCCGACTTTCCTTCACCCTTTTCCCAAAAGCAGCCTCAATAAACCTCTGCAGAAAATTAGTTGGCACCATCATTTTATAGAAGCTTTAAAACATTTTGAGACCTTGGCCCTTCACCTCTGCCGTTTCTTGAAGCCATATTCTTTGCTATTGGGCAGCAGTTTGCTTCATTTCCCTGTCACAGAGCTGTGCTTGTACCTGGATCCTTGAAAGCAGCATTTGGTGTGAAGCTGTGGATGTCCTGTGTTATGTCGCTGCCCTCTTGTGGGGGAAAAAAAAAGGTTGAGTACTCTAATATGTGTATTTTCATAATGTGTGTAGTATTCATGCATAGTTTGTGCAGTAATTTACCACGGCACTAGCGTCAGGTCAAATTAATTATCAGAATTTGCATGGCTGTAACTAAAAGCAGAATCTAATCCTGAACTCCTCATTTCAGGATTTTAGACAAGGGAGCTTTTTGAAAAGCAGGTCTTCCCTCACACTTTTACACAGACACTATACCTTTACTTAACCCCCAAAAGGGACAATTAAATAAGATGTAAGCTTATGTAAGGCATAAATAATTCAAGAATGTTGTTCCCACCCCAGTTTAAGATTCAGCATCATTTGCAGCCAGAGTTGGGTGCCCAAGAGAACCAGGAAAAGAAGATCAGTTTTTTTGGTGGTTTCCCATGGCTCTTACAGAGAAACTAATCCGGGGTGACTTAGCTACAGCCAGGATGCTGTTGTTTCTTAAATTTTCTTCATAGAGCTTGTACATTCACTCAGTATGACTGAAGTGACTGCTAAATTACCTTTGTCTTGCTGTGTCATTTGTGTCATTTCCTGTTATTCAACATCACCTCGGGCTGGCTGGTTAACCAGGATGCTACTCCATGCAGACAGAAGGAGACTCCACTTCCTTTTCCTACAGCCTAGGGCTTCCTCTTCAGAAAAGAATACAGGCTGCACATTTGTAAACTTGGTTTGAGTCAGGCTGAGTAAGCAGACACCTGCTTTTTTTCTCTAACACTAAGCAGAAAAAGTGCTTGGTAGGGAGGCTGCAGAGCCTGGTGGTTGGTGCAGAAATGTGTCAGGCAGGTCTTCTCAGTTCTGTTACTGGAGCTCGATGAAATTTAATGGTTTCAATATGTTTCTATTTCTTGTCCTTTAGTTAATTTCCTCTTGACTTAAGGTTCCTGTTTTCTGATGTAACCTGGGTCAAGTTAAATAACTTCTGTGTTTTATGGTCTAGCCATGAAAAGCACAGCATAGTAAACAGGAGAATACAGCTGAGGAATTAGGTAGTAAGATTCTGCCCTGCATACAAAGGCAGCAGGTGACAGTAGGTCTTATTTCAAAGGCCAATGGTAAATTCATCACCAGAAAGTGAGATGTAGCTTTTCTGAAATATTTAACTGCTCTACCAAGTATTGTGTGGGAAAATTTCTGGGGAGTCTGCTGAGTCTACAAAAATTGCCATTTATGCCTTCTAGCAAATACTGAAAATGAAATTAAGACAACACCATTTTTAGGGGATTATTAAGGGAGATACCAAATTAAAGAATCAAATTTTCTCATCAGAAAACTTATAGTGCTGTAATTTCCCAGAGCATGTAGTGGCATTTTCAATAATTAAGTCTTATTATATGCTTCTTGGTACAGTTCATAGTTGAGTCTCTTTTCTGAACTAATATTAGAACTATTGAGTGGGGGATTTTTAATGGAATAAGTATCACTTACGTAATAAAATCAAAGGTTGTTCCTGAAAACCTTCACTCACAATGGAAGTGGGATTAGTTATTCAAATAAGATCTTCATTGTGTATTTGCAGCAAAACATTCTTGATCTCAGTGTAGGACTTGTCCCTAAATGATAGGTTAAACAATGTATTGGTTTATAATAAACATATCTTCAGGTCACTAAATTCAAGCATTAGGTCTGCATAAATAACTGAACAGGAAAGACTTGTTTGCTTCAAAAAGCTGCAGGTTGTTCCTTACTGTCTTCAACTACCACTTGAGACTGATACTGGGTTCTGCTCTAATATAGAACTTGTGTCTTTCTACTTGTGTCTTTTGTTGGTTTCAATTTCTAGACACCATTAAGCCCATCTGGTTCCTGTGATACACATGAGAATTGGTTCTATGATGAAATTTCACGAACCTGCTGTTACCAGTGTCCCTCAGGTCAGTATGTTTATAAATAAGTCAAATTAAGATGGAGCTTGAAGAAAAGTGCCATTTCATGAATCACTGCCTAGTGTGGATCCAGGTGTGAATTTGTTCCTCGCTGTCCTGCATGCAAGCAATCTGCAATTTGCAAGCAAGATGACTTGCTAGAATATTTTATGTGGTTTTTGTTGGTAGACTTGACAGTGAAGTAGCTAGAAGTAGGCAGGTCTCAGAATTCATTTCAACCAGCCTCCGGGTGTGAAATAGAACAGTGAAATTAGGCTAAATAAGTTTCTGATCAGAGACATTAAAAATAGAATATGAAAGGGTGGAAAATCTGTCGTTATCCTCATAGTCAAAACAATTTACAAGGTGTCTGGCATGAGAGGCAAGAGCCTCTTGTCTCTTAACCCAGTGAGCTTTGGCAGAAGCTCGTTGTGACTCAGAGGTACATGAATTCAAAAGCAGGAAACACCTTGGTGAGAGCAGAGTTCTGGAAATGTCTGAAACTCCCTCTAATGGCCAAAAAAACCCTCAGTGGGTGGGGCATTTTACGGTACTTCACCATCGTCAATCTTCTGTTACAGAAATTTTATCTCTTCTCCTCTTCTCTTCTCCTCTTCTCCTCTTCTCCTCTTTCTGTCTTTCTCTCTTTCTGTCTTTCTGTCTTTCTCTCTTTCTGTCTTTCTCTCTGTCTTTTTCTCCTTCTCTCTTTTTCTCCTCTGTCTTTTTTCTTACAGGAAATGTTTGACATTTACATGTGCTCTAATAATGAAGGGAGGTTTTGCACTCACATTTTTGGGCAGTTATGTCCCGGTTGTCTGGGACATCTTGTACTGCTGGTCCCACCAATAGAATTGTTCATAAGATGTATAAGTAAACAAGACCAAGGGATGGAGAAATTGGTCCTGGAAAAGAGAAAAGAGGTGGGGATCTGACTCTGTTCCAATAAAAGCTCTTTTATCCTTCAGAAGCAGTTGGCAAAAGCTCCCATCATGACAGGTGTCATGGTGAAGTCCTGGGAAAAGCCGAGGTCTGATTTATGTCTGGCTGTAACGAGCCACCAGTCTCAGACATTTCACCTCTGCTTCTTTTTGAAACTCATTTTCTTACTACATCCTCACATCAGTCTTGGACACCTCTCCACATCCTCCAGGGCCTCCTTCCCAAGAGAAACTTTTCAGAATCCTAGTTTATTTTAATCTTCCATTACTTCTCTAAAGCAGTATCTGCTGCTAAGTCAGCTGCTCACTGCAAAAAAACATAAGCTTGTCTAAAATTCCATGTAATCAAAGTGGAGCATCTTGAACTCTTAATGCAGCCTGGATTTACTTCCCTTGGTGTTCCAGCCCATAGATACACAGCTTTCAATCTGAGCTCACTGGTCCACATTCAAGTTGTCTTCTGTTTTTAAGTTAATTTCAAGTTCAATTTCAATATATCCTGCAAACCAAACCTCAAAAGATAATTTTAATAAATTTCTACAGCTGCCACATCTATTCTCAGGTACTTAAGTTCTTGTACAGGTAAAAGGAAACTTCATAGCTGGGATATGAAAAGAATATTTTCAGTCATGACACATCAAAAGATTTCCCTCCTGTCAAGGGAAGAAACAGACTTAAATGGGAAAAAAATGCTGTATGCTAGAACAGCTCATGTTATGCAGAAGTTGATGTTCCATTTCTCTTCTGTTTATTCTGTTTCTGTTTTTTTACCTTTTTTGTTTGGTTGGATTTTTGGGTGGCTTTTTTGATATAGATTGTAAATCAGATATTAAGCTCCACAAGATAGGAGTCCAGTCAACACTCAAGATAATTTCCCACCCACAGTCAATAGCAAATCCTTAGGAGTGAATGAATGTACATACTCACAGAAGACAAGTACTTAAAACCCTTATTTCTACTTCTTTTCAGTACATTTTTTGTACAGGTGATTGCAGCTGGTATTCCTACTGTTCAGGCTTTTATCTGGTTGTTGAGCTATGAACACCACCAGTGGAGAACAGCACCAGAAGACACTTAGGCAAGCTTCAAAGCTACTGCATGTGGGGCACACACTCCCTGGGGGGATCCACGTGAACAGGAAATCTCAAATAAGTGCAGTTAAAGTGTTTGGGTTGTTCGGGGAAGAAGGGGAAAATAACACGTGTGCAGATACACGTGTGTGCAGTTTGAGTGCAGACATTCAACAACCAGCCCCCACTTTGAAAAGAATAGTCTCAGACAAGTAGTTTTGAGGAGGTGGGAGTGATGTGGTTCAGGCTTATCTAGTGGTTTTTAGTGGGCCAGAAGTAGCACAGCTGCTTTTACCTGCACTGTTATATCATGCTTGCCAGAATGCACAGTAGGTGAATTATTTCCCTGTCAGGTTCCTCCTCCCTGTGGTTTACTCTTCGTTAAGTATTGAGTACAGGAAGAGTGCAGCACATACATCCAGCATCTGAAAGGCATGAATAATTTGATTTGTTCAAAGGAAAACGACTGGAAAACTAAACCATTTCACAACTGTCAAGGCAACTGTAAAACCTGCAGGACTGCTGAGAAAGCAACCTACTGTGAACCTGCCAGGGGAATATAGGGCACAGTTCAAGAAGAAGTACCTACCATTTTGTAACCTGCCTTTCTGAACAAGGGAGGTGGGATAACAGGGCAGCTCTGATCCCTTCACATTGCAATGGCAAAGGCAAAAATGCTCTAGGGAAACCAAATGGCAGGTACAAAGAGTGGCAGTGTGTCCAGCAGGTAAATGAGCACACAAGAACACTTCAGGGTGCCTGACAGTGGTGATTCTGAACAGCTCTCCTGAATGTTTTGTTCTTTCTCTAGGCTATGTTAAAAAGAAAGCATGTCCCAGGGACCCAGAGGAAGACTGTATGAGATGTGGACCTGAGCAATATGTGAATGAAGCTTTACAAAGGCCACAATGTGACGCTTGCGTATCATGCGCTAAAGGTTTGCCTGTCCTCCCACATGCCTTGCAGTTATATTCTCTCTATATATTTACACTTTATTTTTATTTTATTAATTTAGAATTTCCAGCAGCAAAATTATCCACTTTTGGCTACTGATTGGGAGAGCAGAATGCTACCTTGTACATAATCACTGTTGCATCCTGTGTGACCTGGGACTGCTTTAAACTTCTGTCATGCAAAGCTCTCCGAGTCTGCTTTCTGCTTTCTCTCTTCTGTTACAAGCCGTTGTCTACAGGCTTCTCCAGTTATTAACGACTAAAGTTGCCATCACAAAGGGTGCCAGTGGCCCATTCTGCTTCCTGAACCTTTGAACCAATGCTGCTCACCTTTGGCCCCTGCTTTGCATTTTCCTCGTGGGGTGACCTGTTGTTACTGCCTCTTTTTCTCCCCCACAGAATCTGACCTCGTGGAGAAGGAGCCCTGCTCCTTCAACTCCAGCCGTGTGTGCGAGTGCCGCCCAGGCCTCTTCTGTCAAACCCCTGTGAAGAACACCTGCAGCAGATGCCAGCAGCACACTGTTTGCAAGCCTGGTTTTGGAGTCAAAGTCAGAGGTAGGAATTCTGTCTAACTTACCTTTCCTGATCTTGGCCTAGGCCTGGGCCTGACACATTTTGATTGGTGGGTCCTCAGTCATTGTTCTTGTTCAGGCAACTCCACAACTGATGTAACCTGTGAAAAGTGTCCTGATGGAACCTTCTCTGATCAAAACTCCAGCATTGACATCTGCAAGCCCCACACAAAGTAAGACCATAATTCTTTGATGTGACTAATGAATTAAAGTTAATAAAAAAGGAAAAGGGACACCTGGCACTTCTGGTGCAAATTATACAAATTATACAAATTTATCTTAGAGGCAGCAGGACAGGTTTGGGCCTGGGTGCAATTTAGAAGGCCTCTCTTTACACCTGTTGCACAGCTACGTGCTGGAGGAAGGAAGGGATCCCTCTTGCCTCATTTTTGCTTCACTGAGTACAGTGGAATTATCAGCGACCATCAGGTTTGCATCCAGGTCAAGAATTAGTGCCACAGGGGTGAAAAGAGGGCTAACAGCTATTCACTGAAGGCAATAAAGGCAGGTGGTACAAAAATTAACAAAGGGATGTCTGTCACATGGAAAATACTCTCCTCTTGTACCAGGGCAGTTTCCTCTAGCACTGATGCACTGTTCTCTCTCATTCCCCAGCTGTGCCGCCCTAAACAAAGTAGCACTAAGCAAAGGAAATGCCACACACGATCAGGTTTGCCTGGACCAACTGCCCACCTTCCTCACCCCAAGCACTTTGTCCATGAAACCCAACAATGAAACAAGTAACTCTGACCTAACGAGACTTGAGGAGAACCTGGTGACCATCACTAGTACTCTTTTAAGTGCCACCACATCTGAAAACCCCAGTTCGACTCCTGAGGAGAAAGCTCTGGTTGACACTTTTCCTACCTCTGCCAAGGGCAAGATGACAATGGGAGGTAACAAAGATAAAGCATTTACTCTGCCTAGCATGTTTTATTTGAGTAGATCTTTGCTAGATGCCATTTTGTATGTGAGAACTTCCTGCAAATCCCCTACAACTTGTGAAATGTCTGTGGTTCTGTGTCCAAACACCTAGACCTATGGATAGTTCCCCTGTTGACTCTTCATAGCTTCTCGTGTACTGTCTTTCCTTTTCTCTGCTCTAGGTCTACTTCTTTGGGGAGTGGTTCTCTCGGTGATAGTGCTACTTGTGGGCATGCTATTGTTTTGGAAATTGAAATTTTGCAAGAAGCAGATCCTCATCCTCGTAAGAAAGCGTGAGTTTTTCAAGCTGTAACACCTTACATGCTGTTTGATCTCCAAGTATGTGCCAGCTGGGAACTCAGAGAGCCCAGAATTGTGTGGAGGTCACTGGGGAAGAGAATGTTTGCTGCTGCTGGGTGGAGGGGAGGCAGATAAGGGTTCTAGACAAACTCTTCATGCAATGAGTTGGAGAACATAAGAGAAAGGTTGGATTGGCTGTGAATTTATGGAGGAAGATACTACAAGCTGGGAGGGGAAAGGGTAAGCAGTTGTTTCTTCTCTCAGCACAGACACTAATATTAAACAATACTGAAGTTTTTAGTGAGTATTTGTTGGTTCTTGGGATAGAGTTAAGCATGGAAAGAACAGTGATTTTTACTGGTACTGACTCTCTGTAGAGTGGCATGTGCCTGTAGAACAACACTCCCTCATTTGTAGTGACCAGGATGTGCACATTGTAGGTGGGTTGTAGACCTGTAGACGTGGCAAAGCTGTTACAGCTTGTGTGCTCTGTGAGGGGTTTAGCTCCATGAATGGTTTCTTTTATCAGCACATCTGCATTCATGCAAATCCAGGCTTAGATCTCAAGATTGTAATCGATAAGTCTAAAGAATAAGTGGGTAGTTTTAATATGGAACTTTATTGGATGGAACTTAAAATTGAAAGCATGGAACATCTTCATGTCAAGGCAGGTGAGGCGCTGGGTGTGACAAGCCACTAGATGGCTCTTTGGTCCCACAGGAGCGGCTGGGCGATGTGTCACTGCAGGGAGGCTGCACTGGAACACGGCCCAATTAATTTCTGGACAACCAAATGAGGGAGTCATGTTCCAAAAAAAGTAGGTGATGGCCATAGCGACCTGTACACCCCTGGAGAACACACATTTTGCCTAATTAATGAATCGCCTCTCAGCACTTCTTTTCCACTGACTGATCTCTTCTGTTGGCTTGGATTATCCTAATCACCACACATGAGAGATCTTTCTACTCGTTTATTCAGGAATACAATTAAACACCTTTTGGGAGCAGCTGATTTCTCTCAAAATGGAATTTTTGCTTCCTCACTTTTTTTTCTTTTAATAATCCTGCCTTCTGCTTATCTAGGAAGTTCAATCAGTTCATCATTTCAGTAGGTGAATACCAGTTGTGTGGGGAGAAAGATAGGGATGATCTCAAAGGGCTATGAGGAGAGCAGGACCTCACAGTCTTGGCAGCAACATGTCCCTGATTCACCTCAGGCATGTCATGGAAGTGCGTCCTCTGTGGTAAAGAAAGCATAATGCAGGTGGGATGGGCAGTAGGTTAGTTTAGGACAGGACAGAGCAACTGTTAACACTGTTATGATTGCTGTGAATTTTCTTCTGATAATTTTTCCTCTTTCCATTGCAGGGTCTGATCTAGGGAACAAATGTGAAGTAAGTGTGTACAGTATTCCAAACAAGATGGTTTTCCATTCCAATGTAAATAATGCTATTTTTAAATGTCCTGTTAAATAGTACCAGCCTTTTTGTTTGGGCTTTCCTCTACAATGCATGATCCTCTAGGTGCAGTGATGTGATGTACTAGGACTTGTTGCTTTCATGCCTTGGGCTGTGTTTAATGTGGTGTTCAGTCAGATGCTGCCAGTCTTTCTTGTGAAGGGAGTATTTGTTTTGGTTCATTCATGTTGCATTCCATGGGACAAGATTCAAAATCACAGCATGAACATGCGTTTTCTGGTAGATCTTTGTCTGTCAGTCCCCTTTTATCTTACTGCTCCAGTCACACACGTGGGATTTGTGTTCTTCTATGTTCTTCCATGTTCCCTCTGTGTAGGATTTGGCATGACTGTGACATGGGTGCACAGTGGGTATTTGTCTGGAAGACTTTCCATCAGGACCAGCTGCTGGTTTAGCAGAATAGTTTACAGATTAACAAGACAAAGATCAGTCAATATGGTAATAATAGAAAGCAGATCCTCAGCTGCTGAAAGAATCACATTTGGCTGCAATCAGCTACCCTAATTTCAGTGTGTCATTGCTAATTCCTGAGTTGTGGTGGAGCTTCCACGCTTGCTTTCATAGCAAGTCAGACATGAACAAGAGTTTTAAACTGCACATTTCAAAATCTTACTATGGTTTGTTGGTTTTTTTTTCTTTTCCAACCTTGTAGAGCCAAGCAGTTGTGGTGCAGGACCTTTAGTCTCTCTCAGATTCTGGCCCCTCTTTTAAAGGACTGTTTGCAATTAATTATTCACATAATAACTACTCTGAGTTTCTCCTTGTTTCTCCTACCTGAGGTTCAGCTGAGGCAATTCTATTTTGAGTTTCAACCTGTTAAACATCTGGCTTGTTTTGTTCTTCCATAGGAGTATGGTAACTCTTTGCAAAACAATATATTTTCAGTTTTGACTGTTTAACTCTGTCACCATAGGACTAAATATCTGTACAGGTTTGTTTTCTGATACTTAGTCTCACAACTAAATATGAAAAATACCTTATGAAAGTTATTTCTGAGCAAATCCCTTAAAATTCTTACCTCCAGCATCTCTTTTTCTTCCTTATGTTATACTCTGCTGAGGAGTGGTACTGAGCTGCAGCCCCCAGAATGCAGCTGCTACTGTAGTACAGGAAAAGAGGCTCTGCAACAGAGCATAGAGTGTAGGGTTTTTTTGTGGCAAAAAGACAAAATGTCATTTAAAAATCTGTGATTTTAGCTTAGAAATGCTATTTTAAAAGATCACCTTAAGTGATGCAGGAACCTAGGTTGAAGAAACTGAAGTTCCTGTTTCAGTTAGGCACTTTGGGATTTTGTGCTATTGTGACTCCCACAGGAGGATTCTGTAGACCTGTTGCCACCTTCACAGTGTTGTTTTTACAGTCACCCCACTTCTATCCTCCTCTTTGTATTGGCAGAAGATCACACTGACTACTGACAGTGGGCTAGAAGAGAAGGAGTTAATTGACAGAACCCTCAATTTGGAAACCAACAATAACTTGGCTTCCAGCACAGAAAAAGCATGTACTCCTGATCTGAGTCTGGCTGATGTGACACAGAGCAATGGAAATGCTCCAGATTGCCCTATGGATTCTCGAGTCAGAGACCACACGAATAATCGAATTGGTGAGTCTTGCTTTTCCTTTTTTTCTTCTCTTGCCTGTTCCATCTTTTCAACCATGGACACATCATGTCATTCTGAGATTATTAGTAAGCTGCAAAGCATCAAAAGCTTCTAACAAAGATTGGAGCTGAATCTCCAGAACCTTTGACACACAAATTGTGGTATTTCTATTAATTTCATATAATGCTTTCACATTTGGCTTAGTCACTTGTGAACCTGACAAAAATATTGTTCTTCTTCCTCTTTTTCCTTCCAGAAGATGTAAATTTGCAGAAGAAATTTGAAATCCAAAATGTGAAAGCTGGAAAATGATGATCTAATACTTAATGAGAGCTGTTCTTTACATGTCTCAATCTATATATTTCTTCTCTTGGTTCCACAGTACTAGCTTGAAATGTGTCTCCCATCTGCCCCCATAAAGTCTTTGATCATGGCACAGGGTAGGAGATAAAGTCAGGCAAGGAAGCTTGGTCACAGGAGGAGAATTGTTACCTGAGACACAGTCTGCATGAGACATTCTGGCAATATTTCCTAACCTAATTTTGAGGTTATTTGAAGGGTTGTTTTGGTTTGGGTTTTTTTTGGTATTACTAGAGCTTATCTTTTCTTACTTAATGCCCTTTCTGATTTTTCTAAGTGATGGACTTGGGATCAATGTGATTATTTGACTTTCCATACCCAAAGATCTCCAAGCAGCTGTAAAAAATAACCTAGTATCTGATCTGCAGCATCCTTCTGAATAAAATGTAGTGGTCCAAAGCTATAGTAAAGGTCTTATTATCTTTTGTCAACAAGTTGAACACAAGGTTCAAGTCTATCCCATAAAATTCTGTAGTTGATTCTCTGATTGAAAGAAATTAATATCTTTGCTGTTCCAGAGACCCCAGATAATTACCCAGAATTTCTCTGCAGTGCTGATCCTTTCCCAAAGGCTGCTTTTAATGCAGGTATTGTTGCTTCTCAAAACAGCAGGAGCATAAACCTTGGATTCTCCATATCTTATCTTCTCCAGATCCTAATTAATTGCTTCTTCTAACAGACTCTTGTGAATATCTTGCTGCCTTTTCTAATTTCTCCTTCTCCTGCAGTCCTAGATATAGAGCAGTGGCTTCAACACATGAGCTAGATCTGCTTGGTCTGAAATGCCCAGAGTCCCTTTGACAGGGGACCAAAACCAGACAGTGTAGTATAAAATGTGCCAGCCTTCCTTAGCACTTAGTCACTTATCACTTAGTGCTTCAATTTCAAAATAAAAGCACCTTATAAATAAATAATGAAACAGCCAACTTTAAATGTGCAAATTCCATAAGCTTGAGCAGGTTAGTGAATTCTGTGTTTTCACAGTGATGGGCTTGATGTCTGTGCATCTCTTTAAAAATAGAACAAGGGAAAAGAAAACCTGAGTACCACATAAATATTTTGCTCAAAACGGAACCATCTCTCGGGTCAGCAGTGATTAACTACCCTCAGCACTATTTTTTTCCTTCCTCAGAAACAATATGCATCATGAACGCCAACACTGTTATTGTGGGGCCAATTTCAGATGGGTCTAGTGGCAAGAACTGTGCTGCTAGAGGACGGGAAAGTAATGTGGATGCTCATGAAACCATGGAAGAGGAGCTGGCAATGCACTATCCAGAGCAGGAAACAGAGTCTTTTCCAGGGAATGATATGATGGTTCCTGTGGAGGAGGAGGGGAAGGAATTTCATCACCCCACCACTGCCACTGAAAAGTGATAATGCACTGAGGAGATGGGTGAAGCTACAGAAACATCCAGTGTGACACTAAGCCTGAATCTCTGACGAGGGAAGTAAACACCTAGTGCCTTACATTGTCTGAAAGCTCATGTAAAACACTGACATGCATTCAAACAAGGAGTGCTAGAATCAGCAAACAAGAGGATCATCCAGACACTTTTCCTTCATAGTTGACATTGAATGCTTCTTTTTCCCTCTCTTTCCCAGTATCGTGCTGGGAACACATTTGAATCAAAGCCACAACATCTGGATGCCAACTCAAGTTTCACAGCCTGCTTTCTCTTAATGAAAGAATGGATTGAGAACTTTCTCTGATTACTTCTATCACCTTTGATCTTTCTGGCCAGAATTCCAGGTTAAGCTTGAGCCCCAGCCTTGTTGCATGTTGTTTCTATTCCACTATTACCAGTACTTCCAATTTTGTCATGTATTTTGCAACATCTGGTATTTTTGTTAAGGCTTCAACTCTTGACTGGAAGTCATAACAATTTCAATTTTCCATAACACCAACAGGACTCTTAAGTTTGTGGACTTGAAGCTTTTGAGGAAATAGGATGAAAAGGGGTCATCGAGACTTGGAAAACAGAAGGCAAATAAACCCATTTGAAGACCACTGCACTTCAGGACGTTCTTTCCAGTTTTTGAAGTCTGAGTCAAGTTTTTGACTACTTCAGGTCATCAGTGACTGTACAAAAGGGAAGCCAAACTGGCTGAACATTTGGATGTGGATGAACTGTGGGGTTAGCCCAGTGTGTAGCCTGTAAAAAGGGGAAAGAAGAAAATAAACTAGTTTTCTAGAAAAACGAAGGACTAAAAAACAGGCACAGCAGTTATTGCCTATAACTTTGTTAATGTCTGCTTGTTTTAGAATTGCTCATAATCTTCAGGGTGACACTGGTTTGCATATCTGTTCTTTTTTAAAAGTCTGGTTTTGTGGTCAACTGGCTTGCGTTAATGCTATTTCTCAATCTTTTGTGCTGCTTGTTTGATAATTGTAAATGTAATAGTGCTGACTATATTTTTTTCACAGGTCAATGGAAAATGAGCAAGATGACAAAGTGTGCCTTAATAGTCAAAAAAAAGGAACCACAAAAACAATTACTTGCTTTGTAGTTTTACCCTGGACAGAATACTGTAAAAACAGCTATGCTACCTCAGCATCTTTTGTCTTAGAACACACAGAAGAAACATAAGGGCATGAAAAACACCTTCTTGGGCCAGACTAGTAGTATGAGCCCAACATTTTGTCTCTGGCAGCCACAGTAAGGGATATCATTTAGCAAGAGCACATAAGCCTGGAGAATACCTGCTTTTTGCATTCCTCACAGGTCTGCAGCAATTGGATTAACAATGTGAAAGAGTTTGTCCCAGCTGTTGGTGTTCCTTTGTTTTGCCATTCATTTTTCTTCTCTCTTTTGAATTGCCTGGTACAATTTGCCTCCATGAGCACCTGTGGCAACAGATTACAGATGGTTACATGCACCTTCTAGCAAAGTACTTCTACCAGTTTTAAACTGACCTCTGCTTTCAGTGAGTGCCACTGGTTCTTGTATTACAGAATGTCATGCTAGACTGAGTTGCTTTTGTGATTCTCAGTTGTATCCACCTCAGCCTCCAGGCTGATTTCCCATCTTTACATTTCTAATCTAGAAATATAGCTAGATGCTCCACTGCCTTGGTCATTTTAGTTGACACCTTCTGCATCTTCTTTACCTTCAATACATCCTTCTGGCTGTCTGGAGGCCAGAACCATGCACTGCACCAAAAAATAAAGGGATGAGCCAATGTTTTAAACAGTGGTGAAATACCTCTCTGGATGACACCTGACATTTTGCTTGCTCTTTTTGGCTGCCCCTGCACACTAAGCAGATGCTTTCAGAGAACCACCAAGCATGACTGCAAGATCACTTTTCTGAGTGATAGCTGGTAGATGTGAATTCAGCACCACAGAATCATAGAATGGTAAAGGACCTTAAAGATCATCAGGTTCCAAACTCCCTGCCATGAGCAGGGACACCTCACACTAGACCAGGCTGCCCAAAGCCATGGATGCCTGGTTTAGATTATTTTTCCTTAGATATATTGCCTTGTGTTTATCTATGTAGAAGCTCATTTGCCACCTTTTTATGAGCTCCCTCTGGCTTTATTTGCCTTCTATACATCATGTAACTACCTAGAGAAATTTAGTATTGCCTTCACTGCATGGGTGTGCTCTTTTCTCCAGATCATTGGTGAAGTTATTGAATAGAATTGGCCCCACCCATTCCCAAAGCTACTTGTTCTCTATCCTGAAAAATTACCATTGTGCTGTGCTTTTTCCTTCCTGCCTTTTCAACAGTCATTTTGTATCCTGTGACCTTTTAGCAAATCCATAAAGTGATCTTTCCTCCAATCCTGTGACAACTTTGTTTTTCTATCACCTTAGGTGTGGAACCTCACTGAAAGCTTTTTGAGCATCTTGATGTAGTGGGTCCACTGAATCTTTTATTCATTAAGCCTCACAATATAAGGGAAGGCATGTCATCCACATTTTGCAACTGAAGAAATAAATCCAGTGAAATTAATACTTCTCTGGAAGCACAATGGGAGAATCTCAACATTATGGGATCTAGTCACTGACTATCACTAGTGGATAATCTACCTGTAGTACATTTGAAAACTCATTGTAATTTCAAGTGTTGCTAGTTCTAGTATTTACTTCCTGAATTCCCCTCTTCTCTACAAGTCCAGAACATAATATAATTTCTAAACCAACTGCTGCCACTACATATTTTAGTTCATCTACTGAGTCTTGCAAGAGAGGCAATGAGTGAGTCCTTTCTTTGCACTTCTGTGTTCGTACTTGTTTTGTTTCATTCAGAAGATGAGCTGCTCCTTTTGCTAAGACTGAAATTTCTTCTGGCTCTCAGTATTGCCAGGTCAGCAGCATATGTGTGAGGTGAAGAAGGAAACAGAATTAACATTTTTTTCATTTAAGTGCTTGTTGTGCAACAGAAGGTCAAGTCACCAAGTGGTGACATAAAACAGCAATGCAAGGAAGAAGAAAAAACTGGGTAGGACAAGTACTGGTCACGCTTTCCTCACTCCCAGTCAGGACAACTGGTTGTTTCCCAGTGCATAACTTTCATTCTGGAAACATACAGCAACTTGTTTCATTTTAGAGAGCACCACTTTGTGTATCCACAGACTGTGAATATCCGTGGTCCCCTGGCTGGGATTGTGGAAGGATGTTCTGTGCTGGCAGCTAAATAAATAGTTCTGCTCAGTGTAGGAAATGAATCCTGTTTTACTGGTAAAGCTTTCTAGATGAATCATTGCAACCCACTAGATGTCTTCTAGTTGGTTAGTTCAATAGTGCTGGTAATCTTAGAATTAAAATGACATGGATTTTAAGCCATAGACACACTTTTCTTGTCTGAGATGTAAATGTTTCATGGATTTCAGCACGTGTATCAATTGCAGAAAAAATACTTTGCAAGAGACCCGTTCAAAACTTAGGGAGCCGTTAGTGCCCTGGAGTTTTTCCCCAGAGCAGAGCAGGTTTGAAGTCACGTTCGGGTCGGTCTGTGCCAGCCCGGGAGCGTGTCCGGGAGCTGAGGGACCAGCGGGCAGAGCCGCGGTGGCTGCGGTTTCATGGATTTCAGCACGTGTATCAATTGCAGAAAAAATACTTTGCAAGAGACCCGTTCAAAACTTAGGGAGCCGTTAGTGCCCTGGAGTTTTTCCCCAGAGCAGAGCAGGTTTGAAGTCACGTTCGGGTCGGTCTGTGCCAGCCCGGGAGCGTGTCCGGGAGCTGAGGGACCAGCGGGCAGAGCCGCGGTGGCTGCGGATGGACAGAGCCAGGGCTGCGGGCGGGACCTTCATCCCTGGGGCTGGAGCAGCACAGACGCCACCCAAGAGCCCCTTTGCACACGCCGGGAGGCTCTTCTGAGGTACGTGAAGGGACTTTTATATCCACATCGCTCTCTTAACCTGAGGAACCGGGTCGGGTTTAGCATGGCAGAAGGCGGGGACGGCCCGGGGGCGGTGACAGCGCGG